AATGATCTGGTGGTCATTTCGAAAAACCCTTTCTTAACAAGAACCTAGAAGCCAAGAGGAACATATGTGCCAAATTTCAAGTTTGTAGACTTTACATTTCTGGAGATTTCGTGATGAGTGAATGGCATTTGGCTTTTATATAGAGAGAGTTCCTAGTACAGGCACCAAAACAATATTTTTAAATGCTGTAAATCTCAGTAGTTTATCAAATCTGATAAGATTTTAGTGAACTCAGTTAAAATAATCTCAAATTTTAGGAAAGAAAATTACTGCTGTTTTTATTATATCCTCATTGTTTCATTAAAATAAATGAATTTTTTAAAATCCAAGAAACTTGCAAATAAATACATAATGCCTTGTTAGGACCACTTGAAATACTTGAAATGAATTTTGAACTCTTCAACATTCCAGCTGCCACAGTAGCAGAATTGCTTCTTTATTGGAAAAGACATGGCATCACTTTCTCTATCACTGAAAAACTATTCTCAATGAGATAACTCAGAAGAGATGCACATATGACTCCATCTTGACGTAGTGGTGCAGTGGTTAGAATGCAGTATTGCAGGCTACTTCTGCCGACTGCCAGTAGTTTGATCCTAACCAGTCAAGATTGTCTCAGCCTTTCATCCTTCTGATATCGATAAAATAGAGACCCAAATTGCTGGGGCCAATATGCTGATTCTCTAAACCGCTTAGAGAGGGCTTTAAAGCAACATGAAATGGTGTATAAGTCTATTGCTTTTGACAGGGAATTGTTTGATTCTAGCAACTCTGCACATGCACACACTGGGAATAGACTCCAGCTGTGTGTCTGCCTCACTGATGTCTGACTTTGAAGGCAGCTGATAACTGGCATGTGACTCTGGCCCCCTCTCTGCCTCTGATGCAGAGCCCTCATCAGAGCCTTCCCCAGACTCCAGGACTGGCCCATGTTCCTCCCCTATTTCCTCACTGATGAATCTGCTGTCAGCTGCACTGGCCACTGGCAGGCCACAACACCATTGAACACCCAGCATGCTTATTTAAACATCACATCAATTGCATCAGGAAGAGCAGGGAGTGAGGGTCATTAAGTGAGGCCATTTCACTTAGACATCACTCCTTTTGACCACAATGGGCAGGCTCCATTACAGTTGTAAGTTGCGGACTACCTACCTATCTTCATTAGCAAGAAATAGAGAAAACTATATTTTTGTCACAGTGATTGTTAAACGTACCTGATGTTCCCCAATACATTTCTGCTTTCCTTTTCTGTAATGGGTCTGAAGCTCCTGGAAGAAAATGGAGGAGACAATTAAAGTTAATAATTTCATGTCTTGTGCTCAAAGTAAGGTGCACAAATTTTGGAGGGCTGAGATAATGTGCTACAAAAGTTGGTTGTAACCAGGAGAAATAATTGGACAGAGTCAGAATAAAAATTGAATTTGACTGAATTTCAATGTAAATTAAGGAAACTTCCATTTTATACATTTTGCATTCTGTCAACCCTCACAAAGCAATCTGAAGCCCCCTTGCGATCCTCTGAATTTCTATTTCAACTACTGAGCATTATATGGACTGAACCTTTCAACCAAATTAATGCAACCACTAATCAATTTAGGGAGACTGCAAAGAATATCATTTAATCAGTGCTCTGTTTCTAGTTACTGACAATCTTGGGACCAGAAAAATCCTATTATAATAATCCCCTTATGTAAAGGTAAAGGTTCCCCTCGCACATATGTGCTAGTGATTCCCAACTCTAGGGGATGGTGCTCATCACTGTTTCAAAGCCAAAGAGCCAGCGCTGTCTGAAGATGTCTCCGTAGTCATGTGACCGGCATGACTACACACCAAAGGCGCACGAAATGCTGTTGCCTTCCCACCAAAGGTGGTTCCTATTTTTCTACTTGCATTTTTACTTGGTTTCGAACTGCTGGATTGGCAGAATCTAGGACAAGTAATGGGAGCTCATCCCATTACGTGGCACTAGGTATTTGAATCGCCGAACTGCCAACTGATGGTCATCTCGAAAAAAACCCTTCTTTGCAAGCACCAAGAGGAACGTACATGCCACATTTCATATAACAGTGTTCAGAGGAGAGATATAAAGAAGCCTATTGCATATAAAACATACAAATTCTTCAGAAGTATGCTTAAGACTGCTGCTTAAAATTACGAATACTTACTGACTGTGCCCAAGTAAGGCTGCAGAAGCAAAAATATAGCAGGACAGCTTTCATGTTAAGAATTCTCTAAGGATAAAGAAGAAAACACCATACTGTTTACTGTTTCATGTTAGTCAGCCAGCTAGCTCCAGAATGTTTTTATTTTTATGTTTAAGTATCATTAGCATTCAATTTCTTCTTTTGATAAACTGATTCAGTGAGGCAAGTGGAATCCACATGTAAAGAATAGAATAGAATAGAATAGAATAGAATAGAATAGAATGCAATGGAATAGATTTCACCATGTATTCAATGATTTGTTACATCTTTGATTGCCTTCTTTGGCATTTGTAGGTCCTTCCAACTTTTAACCTTTGCATGGTGAGGTAAGTGAAGAAGTCATGGCTCTCTGACCCTTCAGATAAGGTATCTGATAAGGATATTTTCCCTAATTAAGTGGAGATTTGACATATACATCCCTGTCTCCAATTACTGGGTTCACAACAGCATACTAACTAAGCCATAGTTCTCCATAACTGTTCCACGTTGCAAAAATTGCTGTGAACTATATGGTTGAGTTATGGTTTGATTTATGTCAGATAACATCTGATGCAGATTGAAAGTAAGATTTCTTACTCCATGGGTTGGATTCAGATAGAATAGAATAGAATAACAGAGTTGGAAGGGACGTTGAAGATCTTCCAGTCCAACCCACTGCTTAGGCAGAAAACCCTACACCTCTTCAGACCAATGGATATCCAACATCTTCTTAAAAACGTCTAGTGTTGGATATCCAAAAACGTCCAGGTGATCAGGGCAATTGGATGCTTTGGCTATCTAAGTAGGTAGGCACACACAAAATTGCATAAGGTATAAAACTCATAAATATTTAACAGAAATGTTTGTCTACTTT